GGGGGGGGGGGGGGGGGGGGGGGGGGGGGGAGGGGAGGGGAATGAATTAGTTCTACCGTGGACTCGATGGTAAGAAAATGGGGGAAAATCCACTCGAGCCCGCTCCTCGTGGCTCGGACCTTCGGGAATCGAACCTGCTTCGTTCCACTTGCTGCCGATGAAAGGTGGCGATGACAGATCATATTCAGATTGCCTTACGAGCAGTGGCGTATTTTACGGGGGGGCAGAGGGGGCAGCTGCCCCTCCTGGCGCCCCCTTGGAGGTAATGGTAATTTCCCCACCTGATATCGCTAGGGTAGGGTATGGGGCCCCCCTGACCCCTCAGCCAAAATACGCCACTGCTTACGAGGGTATCTTTACATATTTTTAGTTCTGCAATGCAGGGTCTTGTCGGTTTCCAGAGCTGTGGGGATTAATAGACTTCGAGTGATCGTTGACTATCGTCAATTAATCCTCAAAATAGTTATTTAAGTATTCGTTGCAATTATTCTGAGCATTTTTTAAACATCGATTAATTGTCGCAAATGGCATTTCGCAATCGTATTTCCAGACGATAACACGTTCTGACATTTCGAGATTGAGCTCTGTTAGTTTTTAACAGTTGTAATAGTTGTCGGAGATCGTTACAATCGGTAATTGGTGATAAAGTAATGAAATCAAGGCACCCATAAAATCATATATACCAACAATCATTTCGGTTGGATTTCAATTTCAATACAATAAGTGCGCAATTCTGTCTGCCCTTGGCCATTTTATACTTAAGACTTCCTCTAGCATGAGCTCACTCAAATGATTAATTAAATGACCATGGCACCCAGGACGACGAAGAATGCAAGTCGAGCAGCAGCCGCAAGAGCCGCTGCAAGGCGGGAAGTGGGGGAGGGGAGGGAGGGAGAGGGGGAGGAGCCGGAGAGGTGCAGACGGGGGCGAGTCTCCGTCGACGGTGCACGTCTGGGTTTCTCCGCGCCGTGTGCGTTCTGCTGCCGTGCGAAAGTCCTGAAGGGATTTCGCTGTTGCGTATCGGAATGGGTCGCCTCGGGGCTGGTGCCTCAGAAAATGCAGTGAAAACCTAGTACGGTGAGGACGGTTCCCCTCACCCGCCAAGAGGTTTAAAAACGTTTAAGGTGTACGATTTTGCGCATCGAAACGAGATCTGTCAGTGTGCCTGTCTGCTTTCAAAATATTATTTGGGAATCGTCTAGAACAGGGGTGCAGAACATACGGCCCGCGAGGTCCTTGCTTGCGGCCCGCCGTGACTGGTGGCGTTGTAAGTGCTACTATGGCTCCTGCCCTGCGGTATGTGAGTAAAAGTTGCAAGTGGCTCTCTCGTTCTTTTGAGTTGTGCACCCCTTGTCTAGGAGGGCCCCCGACTGCGACTTGATTGCCTTTATCAAAGTTTCGATCGAATGAGAAAATATCACCTGCAGGTTTTGATTCAGTAGGGAAGAATCCTTCGAAATCAGTCCCGAAATGGACGATGACAGCTTTTCTGTCGATGCCACGAAGTGTCAAAAAGCTTACTAGAAATATGGATCGAATAGACTCGGGTGGAAGGGTGGAAGTGGGTATGGGGGTGAGTGTAAGTGGGGGGGGGAGGGGGTATGACGCGCTGCTTGCGACCTCTGCATGCCGCACGTGTTGGGAGCCGATGGCTATTGAAAGGCGAGATGGAGTAAAAGCTGTCGCTTTGGTAAGCATTCATTTCATTGAAATTTTTTTTTCACCACGAAATATATACGAAAAATGATGCATGCGAATGAAGACATTAGGGTAGCTCCTCGTGCACTGCGGCAAAAATAGGTTACTGCACGGGATGGGTTTCGCAAGTTTTCGCGAAGGGAGAGGTCAAAGAAAGGCAGGAGAAACCGAAAGAACGAAGGAAGAGCGTTTCACAGAAGCAAAAACGAGACAAGAGCGGTTTCGGGACGCTTTTCCTGGGACACTTTTCCCAGGACACTTTTCCTCGCTGGAGACGGCGCGCAACGCGCGTCCCTCGCGTCCGTCGCGTATCACAGAGCCGGAATCCATCAGCGGCTCGCCCTCCCCGCCTTGCGCTGACGGATCGCTTCCATCACTGAAACGGAGGGGAAATAAAAGGGGAAATTGAGGAACGAACGCGAAGCGAGAGCGCGACGCCGAGGCGCCTTACCCCTCAGGTGCTGCTCCTTCCTCTCCCTCACGTCCGGCGGGTCCTGCGGGATGTTGGAGGCTTCGATCTGCGTGCCAGCCCCGTCCGCGTAGTAATGCACCTGCGGGGAGACAGCGAGACTGAGCCGGTCGCATCGGAGACGCGCGCGCCCACCCCCACTCACGCGGCAGCCACCTCTTGCACTTTCGCGGCGGAGTCCACGAAGAAGTAGGAGCCCCTGACGGTGCCGTCCGGTGCGCGGACCTCCTGCTTCGCGGCGTCCTGACCCACGTACCCGTACGCGTAGCCGCCTTCACCGTCTTGAGCGTGGTATTGCCCCGGCGTCAATTCTGCAAATGGCAACGTATATTAGCGAACGTACGATCCCCGTCACGCGATCTCGCGGCAGGTTGCGAGTCGTCGTTCGCGGTCCTCCTAGGATTCCCAACTCGTCCGGTTCGACCTGAAGATCCCCGTTAAGGAAACAGGTAATATCCCGGTCGAACGGGAGAATTCGGGAATCCGAGGTCTACCGCTTGGCATTCGTGGATTCCGATCCACCCCTTAAACCCGAAAGTCACCAAAGTAACAACTTTTCGAGCCCTGAACTCCCCTCACCACGATAACAACCATGCACCCCCCCCCCCTCCCCAAAC